CACACACACACACACACACAAAACTCGTGCCCATTCTATTCTGGCGGGCAACAGTCAGGTTGCTTATCATCGGCAAACAGAGTCCAGACTCAGGTTCAGGAAAGAAAAGTCATAAGAGAAGAAGGGCCTGTTCCCCCCTCATAGCCCGAGTGACTACGGGCTGGCTTTAAAAGAATTTGAGGGAGCATTAAAAATTAAAATTGATTAAATACCTTTTTTACTTATCAATTTCTCAAAATTTTGTTTACCCCATTAGACGAAAACATCACATTCTATAATTTTATCTGCATGTTCGGGCAAGTCACGTTCGCTAGCCGACAAAAGAAGTTAAGTCACGTGCCGTGTGCCGACAAAAGAAGTTAAGTCAGGTGCAGTGTTTCCTCATCCATCTGGCTTATATAGTGGCAATTGCCCCATCGCAAGGAAAACATTCATTTCCTTACGTACTCAACCGGCGAAGTCCGTCGACTTGACGGACTTTGCCAGTTGAATAAGGTAATGAGAGTAACAGCAGCAAACAAGAACGGACATGACACATCCATGTCAGCAGTGGGTTTTATGGCGATGACAAACTAGTTTCTCAGACTTGAACTCCTGATGAGTCGGTGAAAATTCAGCGATCGCATATAGTGAACGTGAGAACACCCACCACCCACACAGAGAGAGAGAGAGAGAGAGAGAGAGAGAGAGAGAGGGGGGGGGGGGGGGGGGGGGGCGGGCGAAGTTGTTGGCATTGACCAAGTCCGGAGGCAAGAGGAGTTTGCATGAAGTTTCAACTTGAGAGAGTGTGACTATTCATCTGTCAAGTTGTTCGGCTTCAAGAGAGAATCTTACGCTCGTGAGCCTTGAGAGTTTAGCTTCGTCGTGAACCACCACCAGTTCACACAAGCCTAGGTCGATGAAGCTACAGTCCAAGGTTTGCAAGCGTACCACCAGCACCTCGCCCAGCCAATGTTCCCCGAGGCGGCAGTTCACGCGTTGCAAATTTTGTTCGGTCGGCCTACCGCAGGAGGAGATGGCTGTCCACTGCAATCAAAAGGAGACCTGTGCCGCTGCATTTTTTTCTTGGCACTCACTGCTCAGGGCATTTCCAGCCTTGGCAAGGGAAGCGTCAAAGACACTTATGGTTTAGCTGGTTTTTTTTTTTTTTTTTTTTTTTTTTTTTTTTTTTTTTTTTTTTTTTTTTTTTTTTTTTTTTTTTTTTTTTTTTTTTTTTCCCATAGTGGCCTTCAGCTTTCACTACCAGTTCAGGCCCAAAGAATTGTGGCCTTCCCCGTAAATTAATAAGAGCCTGGCTTAGCTTCGTGCGAACAGGGGTTTTAAACCACCAGTACTTCCTACAGCCGTGCCCGTTAACGCGCCACGATTTTAGGAAACTTACGGGCTACTACAGGAGCGCCCAAATTCATCCGACTAGAAACGTTTCTACTCCATTTTTTCCCGCGGTCGATAACTTGGCCAAGTACTGGTGGCTTAAAAGCAACCATCCTAGGGAAGTACTTGTGTGTTACATAGAGACAAATATCCCCAAAAGAAACGGAAGGATAATGATCTACAAGACTTTTGCTCCGAATGCCTGCAGGGCTGCTGAAAGCACAGAAGGCCACCAGCAAAATCCTATCGGCTGGTTGGAAGTGTTTTTTTTTTTTTTTTTTTTTTTTTTTTACATTACCATCCAGGCAACAGCATTGGATGTGTGTTGCAAATGCACACACCAAATCTGCGAAGCCAAAATTGAGATGAACTACAAACTGCTTCTCCAAGCTTTGTGACACCACACACACCGCAAACCACGGCGAAATCGCTAGAAAGCGGAAAAATCAACGCCGGCAATGCAACACAAAGACGGGCGAAGAGCAAAGACGGCACACATGCGTCAGCACATCAGCACTCCAAAAAGCCGACGTGGCGCCAAAGCAGAGCTCGAAAACAGTTAAGAAATCAGCTTTTCGGAAACACCAGCCGCAAAGATCAAGATCGTATGGCCAAAGCGCAAAAGAAAAGAACCGGGTCGGTGCGCAGCATCACAGCGAGGGCGACTAAGCTTTAGTAGTGTGTGTGTTGATAGGGGAAGCTTTCCATGTCACAATAAACATATGGTTGATCATTATTATGCGTTTACTATGACATGCAATGTCTCCCATATGGAAATCAAATGCTTTTTGAATTCTCTTTCTTCTCTTATGATTTCGGATATACATTTCATAACACGTGCCCTTCCTCTCTCCTCCACCCCCCCCTAAACCACAGGATCCCCCCTCCAAAATGTCCAGCAGTAGATAAGAAGACCACACTTTTGATGTACCAGCCTAACAAAGGACCAGTTCAACTAGTACGTCCCTGTCTAAATCTGGAGAGCCGCTTTCTTTAGACCAGATTTCTGGCCTGTTCTTTGACGTGATGCATAGTCGGGCACCGCTCGGTTCTTTTGTTGCCACCTGGCACAACATTGTGCTTTCATTTTCGGGCCATGCAAGAGCCTGAACACACACACACACACACACACACACACACACACAGAGAGAGAGAGAGAGAGAGGGAGAGAGAGAGAGAGATTCGCCTGGATATCCTTACTACACACAAGCTATGTTCTTCTAGCCTCTCTCCCCCCCCCCCCACCCCCACCCAGATATGATATCATCGTCTGGTACTGGCTGGGGGTATATACCCCCCGCTGGGTTTGAAGTCTGAACCCAGCACTTGTCTGGTACAGCTCAGGTTTGACTCATTGCCTGTTCATGTTACCTCGTTCCACTTTTGACTCGTTGCCTGTTCAGAAGTAACCATGTGTTTGTGTTGCGATGTTCGCTGTACACAACTCCACAAAAAAAAGCATGACCATGCCAGACTGTTTTGCTGGACATTCACCGACTGTGTTTGTGTGTTTGTGTGTGTGTGTGTGTGTGTGTGTGGGTTCTTTCTTTGTTTCCTATTGGTCACCTTGTGTTTACTTGTCTTCCTGCCTCATAACATTGCAATTTTCTTTTTGGATGCTTGATCCTGGGCGGTGTTCACAGAATTCCCGGATAACTGCCGGCCGGCAGGTGTGTCTCCGCTCTTGGGACTTTTTCTGTGCATTCCCCTGGTTCCACCACCTCTCACTTGGGCATACAATCTTGCTAATCTCTTCTCTTCGTTTATAGTACAAGCGGTCCCTTATGGTCCCAGCTCCATTCTGTTCTGGGCAGTCCGATATGGGCATGGTTATTCCACTCTTGTTGTTCATTTGTGATGTGCTCATGTGAGGCTATAAATGCGATGGCCTGCGGCCAAGTTCCACTTGCACATATTGTTTTTTGCTTACCGTCGATTCTTTCCTTACCGTCGATTTCCGGATCGACGCCCAGACATTGAGGAATCAGGGTAAGTGGGACCTGGCACCTGGAGTGGAGGTGCTACTCTGTAACCTAGCTTGATGAGAGCATGAGGCCTGGAAGAGCTTCGGTTCGTGCTGAAAACAGCCATGCTGGTGGTAGTCGCAGGTGGATTGATTAGGTTTCACCTATCTGATTCGTGGTTGGGAGGCTTGTTGACACACATTTTCTGAATGTTTCTGAGTTTGCCTTTTCCTTTAATTGTTCTTAGCCGAAGCCGGGTAATGTCCCCGGTGGTTCGTTTTTGTATTCTGATAAGGGACGCTGGGCCCGGTTCCCAGCCGTGTTGCTCCCCACGAATAGATTGGAGCATCGTCTCAAAAAAAAAAGAAAAAAAAAGGGAAAAAATAAAAGAAAGGAAAAGGAGAAAGGAAAGTCGGCAAAGAAAGAAAACCTGCACAAACGGGATAATTTCCGATCTGCCAAAAAACACACATTCCCGGAACCACTACCTTCTTCCCCCAAATACAACCTACTGTACTTATAGCTGTATTTAGACTGAAAGACGACTCAAATACAGCTATGATGACCATACGTTGTATTCCGGGGAAGAAGGTAGTACTCCTCCATCTTCGTTTGTCGAACCTGACCAAACCGGCAATAGAACCTGTTCTTTCTTTCGCCTTTCCTGCAAAAGTTTTTTTCTTCTATCTTTTGTCCCATCAAAGTGACACACAGCTTATAGACATGCTTTTTTTTTTTCAGAATTTTTTGTCGAAGGCGACGAGTCGATAAAAAACTGCCAGAGTGACGACACTCAAAATTCCCTGCATCTCTCTCCCCTCAAACCTGGCCATGTCAAACCGCACTAGAATCTGTTATTTAATATTTTTCGTTTCCCCCCCCCCACTTTCAGGTAGGCTTTGTCTTCTATCATTTTGTCCTATCACAGTGACACCCAGCTTATAGACATGCTATTTTTGAAAAATTTTCAGATTTTTTTATCGAAGGTGACGAGTCTAACACATTAACAGGATGGCAACACTCAAAATTGTCAAAACTGAGAGCTATAACACAATAGGTCAAGTCAAAATCGCACCACGAAGTGAAAATAAAGCGCCAAACCGGGATCTGCTAATTGAGTAAGACAGCGGACCCATCACACCGAGTTCGCCAACAAAGAGAGAAAAGGTTAAGAATACGGAACCCCAAAGTGAAGAGCTACACACAATAGAGTCAATTCAAAATTGTAATCAGCGACCAACGCCGCTGGGCTGTAAATATGTCGATCTCATCATCTCATCAAAGCTCGTGAACAGAGGATCGAAATAGAGGATCAAAGCCTGTAAAGTGGGGTAATACCCAAAAGCTGGAAGCACATCCTCATCACCCTTGCAGTCACTTCGCAGATCAAGAGTCTGCTTCTCTCCTCCGGGCTCCCAATGACCTGTGACACAGACACAAGACGGTAGAAACACGAGTCTTCAATTCTCAGTGTGAAATACAAATACTTACAAGGGGGGGGGAGAGACGGGTGCATGGGTCCTGGGAACCATCTCACGCAAGTGTGTACATGCCATGCATCGTACTCCCACACACAATGAACAGTAGTCTGACAATAGACAAAGATAGAGAAGATGAGGACCGAGTTTCACAGTTTATATTATCAGAAATATGAATACAAAGTGCTTCAAGTTCCCCTGAGTCCAGCGCTCATCAGCGCAACACCAATATCTTGCCAACTCATCAATACGACTTCCAGTGAATCAGTGCTACCCTTGCAGATAGTCTCCAAGTCATCAATGTGGTCACTACTCATCAGCGCCACCTCTGCAGGTCACATCCAGCTCAGGTAAGTACCTTCCATAGCCAAACCTTGAATGAACACTCTCAGCCTCAATCCCTTCCTCCTATGATGCATACACACTCTTTAATACTCATGAGGATCTACTCTGGATACTACTCATAGCTACATACTAACCCTCTACTACTAATGCTAACTCGCTGGGCAGCTATGGCTGCATCACTTCCAGCGTACAGGCATCTTCCTCCCTCCAGCGCGTCTTCTCCTCCAGCGCTGCTCCTCCTGACTCAGCGCACAAGTGCACCAGCACTTCCACGCATTGCAGCCAGTGGAGATCTGGCGAGGAATGAGGCAGGCAGCTCTTTTTATAGTGCTGGCCACTCCTCGCTGGGTCTGCATTGGCTCAATTCAGCCTCTCCCTTTGTCCCAGACCCTGCATTGCATGTGTCCCAGTACATTCCCAATGAGATTCAACTGCTGCTGAGGCACTTCGGCCTGGATTTGGACTTGAAAGTCTGGATCTGGACTGACCCCTTGACTTAGACCAGAACTGGGACTGTGCCTACTGACTTCACTTTCGGACAGGCACAACTCTAAACGAACAGACACATTTACTACTTGAACAGGCACTTTCCATTGCACGAACAGGTACACTGCCTACACGTACAGACACACCCTTACTCGAACAGACATGACATACACATCTCCTGGTGAACAGGTAAGTCTTTTGACAATGCCCTTTGCCTTAGATTTAGATGTGCCTGTTGATAGAGAACTTGCTCTATTTTTACAAGGCCTGAGGCCTATATCGGGTAAAGGCCCTTTTACGGGGTGGGGTGGGGGGGGTTAGCCGCCAACATGATTTCATCCCCCAGGATTCGAGCCCTTCACCTGTTTGATCAATAGCCACAAGTCGGAGGTAGTGCAGTGAAATTACAAATACTGGTCGATTCCAAAAATGCAGAGAGAGCACAGAGTGCACATGTTTCGCTTATATATCATTAACGGCTGCATGGCCAAACCCTTGACGATCAAAGGTTTATTTCAAGGACTCAAAGAGAGTAAGCCACAAGCCTTCTGCATCCTGTTTGACACCTCTACACAGCTCCATTGCTTGAACTCGAGCAGCTGTAATGCCCTACCGTCTTCATTAACCCGTCTTCACCCAAATAGAGCGCCCGGTCATTACAGCCGCATTTGGGGCATATTTCAGACCAGATGCATCCATGCTGACCGGGCATTTGATTCGGGTGAAGATGGTTGCATACACAATGGGGGAATAACCATAGCAGCAACGATCAGCGCAGTGTTTTCAGTCTCTCCTGACATCTTTGGCTTCGAACAGGGAGGAGGGAAGGTCAGGAGATGAATAGGGGAAAAGGGAAGAGGAGGAAAAAAGAGGAGCGGGTGTCTTAAACCACCAGTACACCGGCGCCTGGCAGCGCTGCACTGTGCGCCAAGCTTTGCTGAGCTGCGAGCAGCACACTTTCCTTCGTTTTTGGCTGGTGCCGCGAGCCATCGTGGTCCGGTTGCCCTGAGCCCCTGAAACTTTACGAGTACTGGCGGTTCAAGGAAGAAGACGACGAAGACCTGGGGGTCATTTTCACCCACGTCTGGGTTCTCCATATGTAGCAGTCAGTTGAGCAGGATGTCTGCGGCATCTATGTGGAATCAAAGCACGGGTTAGACACGCAGGGGTTACACATAGGTGGGAAGGCGGGCAGGTTAGTCGTAGGGCAGAGGGAAATGGAAGAGGAGAAGAACAGGCAAGAAAAACATAAGTCTACGGACGAAGAGGAAGATCTAAGTTCATTTCTATCCACTCCAGGGCTATTCATTTGTAGCATTTCAGCAGCAGGACATGCACAGCACCTATGTGTGCAACTCACATAGCATCATGTTCACTTCCTGACCATTGACGAAGCAAGCACCTCTTTCCGATGATACCTTATCTTACCAACAAAAAGGCTCCGAAGTCTGCGCCTTGGAAGCTCATCTGAACTTGGAAAATAAGGCGGGGTGTAAAGGAGGAGAGTGCTTTATTTCACTTGCTACGGTAGACCCTAACATCTTTCAATCCATCAGGATTTGATCACATGGTTTGTCAATTTATTTCAAAGCTTTATTTATTTCATTGCTCTATTCCACTGCTTTACTTTACTTGTTAGGGTGGCCCCTAACATCATCGAATCCGCCACGGTTCGAAGTCACGACGCGTTTATCGACAGTCTAGAAAGCCTGAAAGATGTGTGACCTCTTTACAGAAGTAATGAGAGTGCATGATACAACACGATGTAAGAAACGATTAAAAAAGGAAATTGTGATGCACAGTGACACATGGGGTCCCTCAGGTGGATGGAGAAGCACAGTGGATGTTCGGAACTCACATTGCATGTGCTATAGAAATCTGTGAATTTGCACGACAAGTCGTACAAATACTCGCACACTTGATTTGGCAAGAGATCATTAATTGCAGACTCCACGACCTGCCAGATAGCCAAACAGTTGGGCGTTAAGTACAAAGTGTGCACTCCACTTTGTAGGCCGTCATCTTCGACCCGTACGCTTGAGAACTCATGCTCACACGTAACCAACCACCCGCAAGGACAACAAGGGGATATAAGTGTTCAGATGCCAGCAGAACATTTGCATTCCATTGAACCATATGACCTGCACATCCTGCACCCTATTACACAAAAAAATGAAGATTTCACACTCCTCGAGAAACACGACAATTTTCTGCTTGTCGTTTTAACTTACAACGCACAAGCATAAAGATGATGGACAACGACAACCATTTTGTGTCTTTCCTTTTTTTTTTCTTTTTTTTTAAGTCCCTGCTATTTTGGGGGGCCTCAGTCCGGTTGCTCATCACCGGCAAACATGTTTTTACACCTTAAGAAAGGGGAGAGGAACAGACAGGGCAGAGGGTCAGCCCATCACTTGTCGCACTTGTCACCTAGCAAGGGGGGGACGGCTTCGGTGCAGCCCTCCCCCCAAACTGTGACCTTTCGGAGGGTTGCCCTGCCGGCCGGGAGGCTTACTGGCAGCACCCAGTCCCGCAGTCGGGCTGCCTTCGGATAGGCGAGGCGCGGGGAGGGTACTCCCAACAGTTCTCCCAGCCGCTTAGCATCCTGTTTCTAGTACGCTCCATCGCCGTTTGTTGTCTCTGTAGCACCTATACCTGTATCCCTTGTTTGGTTCCAACCAAATCCGCGCCGGTTCCATACCGGCCTCTCCAGCTGTTTACATATGGTCCTCCCCCATTCCTCACCTTTGGACCCCGTACCACCCATAACCACCTATAACAGCCCCTGGTAGCCTAAATCCAAACAGACACCCAACACACCAATGTTACATACATCCCCAGTGCTTACAGTCCCCCACCACCTTGTCCTCCTATCTGCTGATAACTGTTGCGGTAGTGTTTTGTGGATTTCGAAAACCCTTAATTGTCCTTTTTTTTTTTTTTTTTTTTTCTTTCGAACTGTGAACTGGGCCTTTACCGTCCTTTAGCATTACAAGTGCTACAAATAGAGAGCCCTAGTATAGCACACTCGCCAGAGATTCACACAATGAGGAGAAGAGGAAGGAGGGACGAAAAGGCACAAAGGATAAGAATGACTCACATCCGAAAAGCGGACTAAGCATAGTGCCAATTGCCTCTCCATTGGATGCTCCAATCTCAATACTCCTGCCTGCACACATTGGCCGATCCAACACTAACAAAGTTAAGCGTCAAGTTTGCGACCGGTCAGTTCGTATGCCTACATCTCTTCTTGAAGATGCTTAACAAAACATGCAGATTCCAAAACAAGACCTGCAACAACAGCAACAACAACAAAAAAAAAAGACCTTCAACAATGGCCCTTGGATGCGCAAGTCAGTCCACTATCTGTGACCAGCAAAGACAGTCAAGAAAATCCAATCTCTCCAAACCACGAGCAAGGTTTTTCAGAGAGAATCGAGGGAATTTCATTCAGGTCTTGGATATTCAAAGGGTCTGCTGAGCTTGAAATTATGGTCGAAAAACAAAAAAAGAAATTGCAACGATGCAGAGAAGATTACAATGACCTCTGCGCAAGGATGACACGCATAAATCGACAAATGGACCAAATGGTCCAATTTATTATTAAAAGAAGAAGAAGAAGAAGACGACGAAAAAGAAGGAGTTGGGATACTTCACCAACTGGCCTAAAGCTCAGTTGGTACACCCCGGAACGGTTGAAATATACAGGCCTGAGTTCAAACTCCAATGGAAGCAGACGGCCGAAATACTGCAAGTCTGAGTTATCTAGGGACGGTCAACTGATGAAGACTGAAGGTCATCGCCTTCTTCAAGAAAAAAAAAAACAAAAACAAAAAAACAAAAAAAAACAAAAAAAAAACAGAAAAAAAACAGAAAAAAAACAGAAAAAAAAAAACAAAAAAAAAACGTTTGATCTCTTTGGGCAGACAACATTGAAAAAAAACACCTGCAAACAAGGATTGCCTTTGGTGTGGCCCCCAACGGGATTCACTTCTACTGCCCTCGGAAGGAAACTGGCTCACTAAAGAACACTCAACGGGAAAAGAGAAAGTGTCTTTCTTTCTTGTAGTACCAATATCTGCAAGCACAATGTAAAAGCCACTTTGTTTTTCTTATAATAATAATAATAATAATAATAAAGAAATTATGCAAGCAACCTGGGCGCAATGAAAGATATGACCAGAGAGATTAACACATCCCATCAAGCTGATCTGTTACGCCTTGGGACGTTTCCAATTTCTGATGACTGCATACATTGTGCACATACCGAAGCAAGAGCAACGCAAGTGACACAGAGGAGATCGCACCGCAAGGGATTGAAATAACCTCAAATAAAGCGGAACCGAGTGAAAGGATACACAAAAAAAAAAAACGCAAGGAGGACTGACATCCAACCTGCGAGATGTCGAAAAGCTTACCTCAGATACTAACTCTTCCACATCTTTCCCTGATTTTCTTATGATCGAGCAGATTCGTGCATGTGCATAGAGCAAATAGACCGCAGTATTACCCTGCAGAAACCAAAAGAGGAAACAGAGACAGGATGGGTTGTCATTACAACACACAAAGAAGTGGACCTGATAAGGAAAGATGCCATGGCAGTCTGTTGACAGGTTCAAGCACAACAACAAGGTCTTCAAATTTCAAAAACAATATGCTGAAATCGCCAGAGCAAGGCTCAGGGCTCAGTTATGTTACCTCAACCATCATCCTACCTTCTTCCCCCGAACACAACGTACGGCCTTTATAGCTGTATCTGGGACAATGTACGGTCTTTATAGCTGTATCTAGGGTATCTTTCAGTCTCCATACACAAATATAATGACCGTACGTTGTAATCGGGGGAAGGAGGTAGTTAGCGGCCAAATGGCATACATGTTTTAGATGATAAATCATCAGCATTTAAGACAAGTGCAATCAGGTGCCTTCGCATCCTACAGATTCAAGCGTGATAATCTCTACGACCAACGATGCAAACAGCCGAACAACGAAGCAAACCACACATGATCCTGCAGCCACATGCAGCAAGCAGTGAGTGTTTCGCAAACTTGTATCCGGAAATTCTGAGGGGTGCGGCCATAGTGATCCTCTCCAAATGTGGATTTGTCGTGGATATTATATGACCTCTGGCTGGTATTTTGCGAGGCTACGCCCGCTTAGCCCCTACGGGGCTCTATCTGCAACAAGGTCGGCCGCCCTAAATGAAGGCAGGCACGACAGGCCCTTTGGGCCTCATTCTTCAGGGTACCCCGCAWCGGGGAAATTCAGACAGTTGCGTTGCGCCAGTTGGTTGAATGAATCCAGGCCSTGGGCCGCCTGYGTAAATGAATGTGAAGCAGGCCCTGGGCTGGATAYGGGTACCGGGCCAAACACAGGCCGAAAGCAGTTGGGCGCATRCAACCACTTCAGGCCCAAGGCCTGCTCTCTTCGTGACTGGGCCTGTGCCTACCGGGGCSTACCGGAAGCTTCCTGGACTGGACGCAGGCAGGCCACTTCGATATAGGGAAGGGCCTGCCTCCTCATTCGGGATTCGGGTGCTGGCTGCATGCTGCGTGAGCGCTACTGCGCAATCCGCTGGCTGGCTGGCACTCACGCTCTCACGGGCGAGTAGGAGGGAGCACGCAGCCATAGCCAAGCTRCGCTGCTGTATGCTAGGTGAAGCGCAGGGTGGTCCTTGGGGTGCTAGTGGCATCTGTGCGGTGTGGATCGGGGTTGTGAGTGTTACGAGAGACATACCTGGT